GATATAGTCATTGCATATAGATCAATCCTCCATAAATAATTCATAATTAGAGCTAGGTAAAATCTGTTAACCTCTCTAATTATATCTTTATCCTTGAGTACCATTGATTCTGTAATGGACAGTGATTCATAAAACACATTCATGAATCGAAGCTCCTACTGGTCCAAGTACCGAATCAACCCTCAAGAGAATTATTTATCTACTTCTTTCTTAAGAAGGAATGGATTCCATCTCGTGTAATAATATTCCCGGCTACCTACTTCATCATGTCTTCAAAATACAAGGAATAGGATTCAGGATCTCAGAATCCGTACCGAGTAAATCAAAAGACACAAATCCATAAATAGGAGTTTGTTAAGAACTCATGATTAAGATCATTCTATATATGACCATCGATAGACTCAATTAGAATTTCTACACTTAAATGGAAATTATTAGAAATTCATATTGTGTCTGTGTCCTTGTTCCACATAATCTCATTATGCGAAATACACTCATTCAATATCTCACCATATTAACAGTGCGGATAACACCGTTCCATTCTAAATGGGAATGGCATGTATTAATAATGTTTTAATTAAAGATTTCGAACTTTAATTAAATTCATTATGAACATTACCTTTTGATTATTATCCTTAAACATTATCCTCTCGTATATAACACTTATATACAATGTTTAAGGTTACATAAATAATCACTGAATTTTCATCGATATTCATAAAATATTCACAAATATATACACATAAAATGATGAATAAACTCTTTATTAAATAAATAATAAATATCCTATTACATCTTATGCTTCTAGGACACCATTCCCAACAGGATCCTCATCTCTAAGGAATTTGGATTTGAATCCAAAATGGAGAGCAACTTGATGATTGGAGAATATGAGAGGATGAAGCACTTTATTTTCGCAATCGCCCAGCTGTTCCTAAGGTGGATGAGATCAAGAAGACGATCCTACATGAGGCCCATAAGTCATGTTACGCTATTCATCCAGGAAGCACCAAGATGTACCAGGATTTGAAGATACAATACTGGTGGAGAGGTATGAAGAAAGACATTCGTGAGCATGTTTCAGAATGTGTAAATTTTCTCTAAATTAAAGCTGAGCACCAGAAACCTGCGGGAGAGTTGCAGCCTTTACCTGTGTCGGGATGGAAATGGGAACACATCACGATGGATTTTCTGGTGGGACTTCCGAGGACTGAGCAGAGGCACGATGCCATCTGGGTGGTGGTGGATAGGTTGACAAAATCTACACATTTCATACCGTTCCGTGCGACATATTCTCAGAAAACTCGGGCAGAGTTATACTTAGAGCACATTGTGAGACTTCACGGGTACCGTTATCCATTACGTTCAATCGTGAATCTCTCTTTAATGCAAGGTATTAGAAAAGTTTCCAGGAAGTCATGGGAACAAAATTGAATTTTAGCACAACATTTCATCCTCAGACTGATGGACAATCTGAAAGAGTTATTCAGATTTTGGAGGATATGCTTCACGCTTGTATTCTGGAGTTTGGTGGAAACTGGAAGAAATATCTTCACCTTGCCGAGTTTGCTTACAATAACAGCTATCAGGCCAGTATCGGCATGGCTCCGTTCGAAGCTCTTTATGGTTGACCTTGTAGATCACCTATTTGTTGGCTGAAACCAGAGGATCAACTTACTACTGGACCAGAAGTTATTTAAGAAAATAATGAGAAGATAACTCTTATCTGGGAACGACTGTTAATGGCTCAAAGTTGTCAAAAGAGCAATGCTGACAGAAGGGGTAGACCGTTGGAATTCCAGGAAGGTGACTTCATTTTGTTGAAGGTTTCCCCACGTAAAGGAGTTGTACTTTTTGGTGTAAAAGGGAAACTTACGCCAAGGTACGTTGGACAATTCTCGATTGTGCAACGAGTTGGTGTCGTGGCGTATCGCCTTACCCTACCGCCTGAGCTATCTCACATGCATGATGTATTCCATGTCTCCATGCTTCTTAAATGTCAACCTGAGCCGGAAGCTGTGGTACAATGGTATGACATTCTGCTACAGTATGACGCGACATACGAGGAGGCACCAGTTCAGATTCTTGATCAGAAGATGAAGAGTTTGTGTCATCCTGATATTCCATTAGTAAAAGTTTTGTGGCAGTACCATGGAGTTAAAGAAGCGACATGGGAGCTTGAAACGACGTTGCAGGAGCAGTACCCGCATCTGTTTTTGCTTTGAGATAAGTTTTAATTTCAAGGATGAAATTCTTTAAGGGGGTGGAGTTGTAACACCTCGAGGAATTAAATGAGATTAATTAAAGTAATTAAGATTTATTAGTGTGTCTAGTCTGGTTTAATTAATTAATTTTTTATTAATAAATGTTTTTGACGTGTAAATTAAATGATTTCAAGGAATTTAAATATTTAAGTATTCACATTTTCACCCCAGAGTGTGTGTAGACACATTTCCTAGACTGCCTATTTAAATATTTTGACACCTATTTTTCCTTTTCTTTTCCTTTTTCTCTTCCTTTCCTTGCCTTTCTTTCCCGAGCACTCTCTCTCTCTCTCTCTTCATTGTCGTTTCACTCTCTCTCACTCTCTCTCATCCATTTTTGTCTCGAATCAACCGGATCTTGAACCAAGGAAGGATTTAAAGAAATTTTCAACGTCAAGAGAAGGATTTGAGGTAAGATTTCTGAAAAACTTCTCTTGAATCTCAGATTTTTCAGATTTGAAAACATATTTTGCTTCAAAATGGATTTTCATGGATTCCGAGTAAAATCATGGTAGAAATTTGAGATTTTTAGTTCTTTGGATTGTATTTGTCATTTGGAACCTGGATTGGGTGATTTGCCTTTGAAATATCTCAGATTAAACTTAGATTTGTAGGTTTTCGGACTAATTCAGTGAGTTTTCTCGCATTTCTATCCTCCACCGGTCGACCGGATTGCATTCCACCAGGTCGACATATGCGGTCGACTGGATTGCACACCACTGGTCGACTGGTGGTGTTGCACAACTCTATCACCAGTCGACCGGTGTACACAGGGTTTGACCCTGTTTTGCTTGAAAACCCTGTTTTGACCCTGATTTTTTAAGAGAACCCAAACTAGCTTCATTTGGGGATCTAGAGTAAACGGATTAGCATCTTGAATCCATGTTTTGAGATTAAAACCCTTGGAATGATGATTTGAAACATGAAATGGTTTATGAAACCGGTAAATGAAATATGGCACACTAATAGGAAATCAAAGGATATAATTGAGATTGAATTGCTTTAGGAATGAGAATTGGATCCTAAAGTGTTGTTTTGCATCAGTGCTAGTTGAGGACTCGGATAGAGGGGCTTTGAGGAAGTGGAAGCCGGAATAGTGCATTGCTAGCCACAGGTTTAGTACTTAAGAAGTAGGAATTCTTACCCCTTTCTTTGTTAGCCTGATTTTAAAAGAGTTTTGGCCTTGCAAATGTTTTAAAGGAAGGATATGTTTGCGAAAGAAAAGCATTTTACAAAACAATAGCTTGATTTTAGCTATTGGAATTACAATGAACTATTTCAGAAAGTTTAATGAACGATTTCTTAAGATAAGAGATATTGCGAATCGGTAAACCAGCTGATGGCCTAGATAGGATATGGAGAGTGTATCCCTGGGAACAGAACCCAAAACCCATACCGGGCCATTACGGTGGTGTAAAAGCTTGTGCTTGTGGTTGTGTAAGTAATTCATCAAAGGATGAATTACTTGCTGATGCCTATAATACATGAATTTTTAGTTTATATTCCTTTCAGAAAAAGGATGTGAGGTTCTGGCTGTTGTGTTGGAACTGAATGTCTATATTTATTTATTTGCTTATTCATTATTTTATTTACTCGTTCATTTATTTACTTGTTTATAAAGTTATTTCAAAATACATCCTGCTGGCCCTTTCGCTCACGTTTTATTATTTTATAAATATTAACTCCTCCCAGGTGACTCTAGGAGCAGTGCAGAGTAGCTGAGTTAGTTGCTACCATCCAATTAAGATAGGATTGTGTTCATCCTCCTTGTGTAGAAATGTAAGATTTGTATATGCTGTAAACTCTGAACTTTGAATTCCTAGACTGAGGTTGATATCTGTAATGTTATTTACATGTTCATGTATGTACAATACTGCATATCATGTGGATGAAGCCCTGAACGATGTTAGAGGCTTGAGTTTTAGCCTCTTGTAATCAGAAAGTACGGGCGACCCTGTAACTTTCTTGTAATTTATTTTCAGCTAAATATGGGGCTTGTTTGGAAATTTCTTTAATATTTTACTTTTGATTCTTATTATGATAATTTCAAATATTTAATTACGTTTAACTCCTAAACGAGCCTTCACGTCACTAACCCCGGCTTCGGGGCGTGACAAAAACAACATACTCACAATCAACATTCATATCATACATAAGCATAATCAAATAATAAAAATTGACATATGACATAAATAAACAATCCGAAGGATGGTGGGCCCATTTCAAGATACCTAGCTCAACACTGATATTTAGTCTTTGGACCAGAAATATCAGCTTGTAAGTGGTACTCTCCGCGCAGTAATCAAATATTGATAATAAATCCTGTCAAACAATAGCCTTGTTTTGGGCCGACTGTTGTTCACATGGAAAACTTTATAATTGTCACATATTTATTACCACAGGTATACCCATTATTTGGCCAAATAATAACCTTCCTTTGGGCCGATCATTATTCGCATAAATAACATGTATACTAATCTTTATATTTTAAAATAAATTAACATCCACAACAGAGGTTACTTTGGCTACAATATTATTTCAAAATACAAGACAATTAAGTGCAATAATAATCAAATAAAACAAAATAAAGAACTAGAATTTTATTTTATTCAATTTAATCTTTAATTTTCTTTAAATAATTTGTACTTAATTTCTTAGTGGGTTAAAAATTGTCCAAAATATCCAAAATTGGGTTTTAAAATAAACACAAAACTTCACTTATGGCTGCAAGTTTATACCTGCAGCCTTTTACTGAAGCATAGGCCTAATAGGGCCTGTGCTGGCTTCTTCTGTCACAGGCCCCAAATGGGCCCGTGATATTTTTTTTTGTTATAGATTTGGGCCGAAGCCTAGAGCTGTTGCTGCCCTAGGGTCGCGATTGTGACCCTTCCCAGATGTGGCGGCCGCCAGGCCACCACTTCATGCAGCCGCGGTGGTACACCGCAGCTGTTCTGTCACTGACGCGGCCAGAGGGCTGCGACCAGTCATCCATAGCGCCGGCGGCGGCAGATGCGGCCGCCGGCCCTGAAGAAGGTTTTTTTTTCTTATGCGGCGGCGCTGGGG